GGGTTTGTTTAGTCTGCAGAAGAGAAGAGTGAGGGGGGATTTGAGAGCAGCCTTCAACTTCCTGCAGGGAGGTTCCGAAGAGGCTGGAGAGAGGCTGTTCTCAGTGGGGGCAGGTGGCAGAACAAGGAGCAATGGGCTCAAGTTGTGAGGTGAATATTAGGAAAAGCAATTTCCCTAGGCGGGTGGGGAAGCACTGGGATGGGTTCCCTAGGGAGGAGGTGGAACCTCCATTCCTAGAGGTTTTTAAGTCCCAGCCTGACCAAACTCCGGCTGGGATGATTTGGTTGGGGTTGGCCGTGCTTTGCGCAGGGAGTTGGCCTTGATGGCTCCTGAGGGCTCTTCCCTCTAAGTACTGTAGTGCAAGCTCTTGATTATGCAAGTCGAACTTACTAGTGTAGAACGGTGTACAACAAATAACTGCATTCAGCAATAACACTACTTAAAACTCAGGTCCACTCTGTCCTACTTCTTATGCTGCCAATTGCTCGGACATTCCAGTTTGTTCACATTTGCAGAGAAGAATGCTGCCTGCTTCTTGTTTACAAAGTCACCTGACAGTAAGAATAGGTGTTCGACTGGCAATGCTGTAGCCAGAGTCGCAAGATATTTATATGCCAGCTGCAGAAAAGTCGTGTGTCTTCTTGTGCTTCAGAGTGGCATGGCATGCTGAGAAGCATTCTGCTAGGGGGGAATTCAGTGACCACACAGCATTTTCTATAAACCCTGGACAGTTTCTTAACTATAAGGTCTGCTTGCTGTTGCAATGCCACTATGGTTTCCCCAACAAGTCAATGAAAGGGTATTGATTATATAAGCAACAGCACCAGTGGCAATCCCACCCCGTTAGATGTGTGAAGATGGAGAGCTCTTGCAAATGATAACATGAGCCTTTGATCTTCCCATTTTTAAGGCTGTTTTAAGGTAGTTTCAAGGCGTCTGTGTAAGAATACCCTCTCTCCCAGTGAACTAATGGCACAGTACAAAGGCCTTGAGATGCTCAGGGTCTTGCAAATGGTTTTGGACTTCCCCAACGCTCTCTCTAGGTGTCGATGCAGAAGGGAACCGAACTCCACTGGAGCCAGGATCATCACAGCTATTAGCAAAGCGCAGCAGAACAGCCCCAGCCGTTTAATGGAGCGTTTCAAGAAGGCAGAATCGGTGGTACAGAAGGCAGCTGTTCAGTAGGAGGAGAACGCTAAGAAATGATTCGGTCTCAGCACTTAAAATAGACACGGCCCTGTACAGTAAGGATATTCTTACTCATTCTGCGCAAATAATTCCAAAAACAGAATACTGGGAGCAAACGAGCGCGGCACCGTTCTGCTGCTTTATCACTGCTCAGCATGGAAATGAAATAATTGTAACTAAATGTATCCAACATACGGGACAATCCAATTTCAGAGCCAGCTTGAGGGGATGTGTGCAGAGTCTAATAAGCAAAAGTTTCCTCCTCACACAAATCTTAATTGGCTTCCAGTCTTGAAGTGAAAGCTCTCTGAAGAACTTGCAGGTGAACTTAAGATCCAGGGATCCTATGCATGGAAACCCTTCCATGAACAGATCCTCAAAAAATGCTGCTCCTCACTTTCTATGGCTGATTTCTTGTAGGAGTCAATCTATTATGGATAGGCTGCAAAAATATTTGTTGAAAGCTTAGCTATACATCAAAACTTTATGCACGTGGATATTTTCCCTCTCCTTGACTTTTATGTCTGTTCTGAGGCAATACAGCCTTCAGTGCAGATACTATTCCTGCCAGTGTTTGTATAACGTGCAATAAGGTCCCATCGTACCTAAGCACTACCACTGTGGTTCTCAACTGGTGGTCCATGGACTTTTTCTGTGGTCCACAGGAATATTGTCCAAAGTCACACAGCGTGCACAGGCACCACCGTTAGGCTGTTTTACGCCGTGTTCACGAGCACACGTCACGTCACCCATAGCGTCACCTAGGACGCAACCGCATTGTGTTGCCAGTAACTTCCATCTGAGTCTGAGCATCGGTGTAGCTGCCGCCATTATGCTGAGTGGTTTCTGTGTCGTTCGTCCTGTGCTACATGTGCGGGAGGTGGTTCATGAAAATTTTTTGATTGGCCTGGTAGTCCGGGGACTGAAACGAGTTGAGAACCACGGATCCACAAAACCTCAATACCTTTCTGGTTTGTGAGCATCAGTCCAACATGTCTTGCTTCATTAAGCAGGTACAGGAGTTTCTGGCTCAAAAGGAACAAAACCTCAAGGTAGCATCCAAAGAACAGAATTTGTTTCGTGACCCTGCTCACTACAAATCCATTTTACTTGTGTAACTTCATCCTGTAGATCTATGTGGAATTAGGTAGAACTACATTTGAAGTGCCTGTTCTCAAACTGTAAAGCCTCACACATCTGAGCTTAACACAGCTGTGAACGTTCAAAGCCTCAAATTTATTTCATCTCAATTCTTGCTTTTCCTCCAGGAATCTCTATTAGGAGTAGCGATTAGTAAACCAGCTAGGACCTTCGCTCATTCCTCAACCTCAGCCTATACCCTATCTAATGTTGGCCAAAAGCACGGGATACTGAGAAACTCATGAGCAAGCCTTTTCATGGGAGACTTTTCAGCCCTCGTACCTGTGTCCTAATCTCAACCATACAGCTAAACACTATGCCACATCACCACCACTCCACTTTCTCTGCAGCTTCTCCTGTCTGTCCCCTCCTCTTCTTGATATTATGTTCAACACCTTGAATTCTCCTCCTATCGTCCGCACTAGGGCACAGGAATTCCACGTCCACTCTCCGGTTTGCCCATCAGCCAGGTCTACCCTGGGCCAGTGACCTTTAAACAAAATCCACGGAATCCACGTGACTTCTCCACATGGGTCCTTGCTAAACATAGTAATTTTACTCCCCACCTAAATGTCTGCTGATTTCCAGCTCGCTGCCCTTGGCCACCGCTCCCCGCACAGTCGCATTCATGGAAGTACCACACATGTTGGGTCTGTCTACACTGCCCCCCAGCTCAGAACACCGGGGTGTGAATTCTACTCAGAGTCCTGTACTGCAACTACCCTGTTTGGACCCTGCGAGGGGCAACACAAAGAGGTCCTAGCTCCTTCAAATAGGGCAACATTAATGCAAACTAGGCATGGGCAGCTGGGGCTAATGGAGGTAGGATCCTGACCCACCCACAGCCCTGCCCCCACCATGGAGGGGAAGAGCACATGAGCCCCTGCATCCCGCGGAGAGCGAAGTGGCCATGGCACGAGCCGGCTGGAGCCTCCCTGCCCCAGGGCACTGAGGAGGGAGGCAGTGGCATGGCCCGAACGGGCACTCCAGGGCAGCAACACTCTGCCCCCAGAACACCTACAGCAGGAGTTCTGGGGCTGAGTGTGGGCGGGGCCAGGCTGGTCCTTCCCCCACCGGAGCTACTGGACTCCAGAGAACCTAGGAGCATTTCAGCTTGTGCTTGCAGTGCTCACAAGGGCAGGTCCAGCACCGCACTTAGGTACACACTGCTACTCACCCCCCACGTCCCACACGCAGGGCGGGGAGACAGCCTTCGACTTTGATATGAGGTGGCCCAAGGGAAGTGAGTAACATCCCCCCCCCCCATGTTTGAACCCCTGGATTTTATATTTGAGATCTGCTTAAAGCACCTGCCTTAACTGCACTGGAGTCTGTGCTGCTCCCAGCTTTCCCTTTGGAGAAGGCAGGGTGATCAAGTTAACTGGCAGATCGTTAGAGCATCATGAAAACATTGCCGGGCACGCCACTCACAACAGAGGGGGGAAAACCTGCATTTGGACCTCTGCTGTTAAACTTCTCACAAATATTCTCCGAAAAGGGGTGAACAGGGAGGTGGCAAAATGTGCAGATACAAAACTACTCAAAATAGTCAAGTCCAAAGCCAATTGCGAAGAGTTACAAAGGGATCTCACAAAACTGGGGGCCTGGGCAACACAAGGGCCGATAGAATTCAGTGCTGATAAATCCAGTCATGCACATGGAAAAATATAATCCCAACTGTACGTACAAAAATGATGGGGCTGAAAATAGCGGTCACCACTCAAGAATGAGACCTTGGAATCACTGTGGATAGCTCTCTGAAAACATCTGCTCAATGTGCAGTGACAATCCAAAAAACTAACAACATTGGGAATCGTTAGGAAAGGAATAGAGAAGACAAAAAAAATCTCCTATTGCCTCTATATAAAGTCATGGCATGCCCACATCTTCAATAACGCGCACAGATCTCGTCACCCCATCTGAGAAAAGATCTACTGGATTTGGAAAAGGTACAGAAAGGGCAACAGAAGAGATGAGGGGTAAAAACAGCTTCCATGTGAGGAGAGATTAACAAGACGGGGACTTTTCAGCTTGTAGAAGAAATGACTAAGGGTGGAGGGATATGTTAGAGATACAGAAAACCATGAACTACATGGAAAAATAGACTAAGGAAATGTTATTTATTCCTTCACCAATATAACTCAAGGAGCTCACCCAATGAAGTTTACAGGCAGCAGATTTAAAACAAAACAAAACCTGCGGAACTCTGCCAGGAGATGGTGGAAAGGCCCAAACTATGACGGGGCTCCAAAAAGAACAAAAGAAGTTCCAGGAGGATCTACTAGCCAGAATGGGCAGGGATGGTGTCCCTAGCCTCTGACATGGGATACAGCGCCTACGTCTAGAGAGATCCTAGCATAGCCCTATTGCTATGGGATACCGGCGTCGAGTCCACCTCTCTCCCCCCTCCTGGAAGCAGGCAGTGGTGACGGGCAGAACAGCCCCAGCACAGAGCACAAGCTGCAAGTCCCAGTTATTTCAGCACACAGGCTGTCATTGTAATAGAAGGAGAGACGCTCCCCCCGTCCTCCGAATAGCGCGAATCCAACCCCACCGTCAGCTCAGCCGGGGGGAGATGAAGGACTTGCTGGGAAACGGCTCTTTCCCAGTGCCCTCCCCTGCCCTGTCCCGCCCACCCCACGCTCCAAGGGTGACAGGGGAACCCCACTCACTCTGTAAGCAGTCGGCGTTGAGCAGGTCTTGGCACTTCTCGTGACACTTGACCCCACACTCGGTGCAGCGCATGCCCTGCCGGGCAATGCCCCACAAGAGCCCTTCACACTCGTAGCAGTACGTGGGCGTCGTCGCTGTCCACACCTCAAAATTGTGAGGGGTTGTGCTGGAGATCGGGTAAATTAAGGCTTGCAGGGTCTTCTTGTAGACATGCGATTTCTGCAATACAAGAGCACACGGGAAGCCATGTCTGCAGCTGGAATGCTGCTCACTTGCCCTGCTCAGCAGGAGAGCTTGATCTAGGGCTGACGGGGCTGTTCCTACGGGAGTGGATCACTCTTCTTGAACGAAAGAGAAACGGCCAAGATGAAATCCTCAGCACTTAGGCAGGCAGAGGCAGCCAAGCATGCTAACCCCAGGACCGAGCAGAAATGACGTGCAGAAAACACCCTTTTAAAATCAGTTTTGCAGTTACTTGGAACGAGCCACAACGAATGCCGTTCTGAGAGCCAAGCAGGCAGGTCTGTGCGTAATGGGACCCTACAGAAGAAACTTGCACTCAGAAGCCCTTCGCTCATGAAGAGACCCCTAAATGCTACAGTGTATGCGCCACAAGTTTAAAGAACCCAAGTAATTCAGCTGCTTTGCATCTACACTGAGTCCTGCAGTGCTCACTGGATACGCGGAGCACCATCTGAACGTTCACAGAACCGAGCCCCCGTTCCTTTATTTACAACAAGCCCTGGGGAACTGAAACTCTACTTACCAGCTCCTCGTCCTTAAGAGACGTTCTCGTGGCCATTGCGGAGGTAATTCCCGCCTTCCTGGACTGAACCAGCGACTGAGAAGGGAAAGCACACACAAATTGATAGGCGGGCACATACTTGTACAGTGCAAAGAATCGGTCACCAGCAAGGTTCTGAACAGAAAGTCTACACAAGTCAACAGCCCTCTGCCACATTTAGCTAATGGCAAAGCTCCTTCTCCCAGAAAGCGCCAGGATGTGCCCACTCAATACCTAAAACTCATTAACAGTTGGTTTCCTTCTGCCCCAACCCACTTTGTTTTGGAGAGTTTTACTATTGTCCCCTGTACGAAGTGCACATGAAAACTGGATTCTCTCCTGCATCCGTGTAATAGATAAGGGTTACGCAGCGTTCTAAACTCATACTCCAACTTCTACAATCACATTTATCAGCATCACCACCTACAGAAAGCGCCACACAGCGATGGCCGGACGAGGGCAGCATGACGGTGGCCAACTAAAACTCTGGATGGTTTGATGGGATAACATGATCTTGGCAACTAAGTGACCTTTCAGTATCAGTGGTAAATAGGCCATTAGTGGGATGATAGGAGTTGCTATAGAGAACTTTTTTCTGGGTGTCTGGCTGGTGAGTCTTGCCCTCATGCTCAGGGTTCAGCTGATCGCCATATTTGGGGTCAGGAACCAATGTTCCTCCAGAGTAGATTGGCAGAGGCCCTGGAGGTTTTTCACCTTCATCTGTAGCATGGGGCACAGATCACTTGCTGGAGGATTCTCTGCATCTTGGGGTCTTTAAACCATCATTTGAGGACTTCAATATCTGAGATCTAGGTGAGAGGATTATTCCAGGAGTGGGTGGGTGAGATTCTGTGGCCTACACTGTGCAGGGGGTCAGACTAGATGATCATAATGGTCCCTTCTGACCTTAAAGTCTAGGAGTTGTGGGGTTGGAATGGCAGTGTATGTTTACATGAGGAATGTTGAAATTTATTTCCTCACGTAAACACGTAGCCGCTGATAATGTCAGCGATTGCACACGGGGAGCCAGGGCGTGCAGGGATGGGGGACAAGGAGCTGGTGTGCACCAGGAGCTGGCTTTGCGCCCTACACATACTGGGAGCCTGCAGGTAACCATGAAGGTTAACCGCTCAGGCACACCAGTTAACTGTGTGCACGGTTACACTTTCACATCCCTAGCTTGAATGTGTCTGTGTCTCAGTCCGTGGCCATCTCTGAAGATAATGGACACACCCCTTCCCAGAGCAGCTACCTTCACATTACAAATTAGGGAGGGGCAGCCATCAATTTTTTTCAATTACTGTTTTTCAGCACCTGCTCCCAGCATCTAACCACTCTCTAAAAGGCTAGGAAACAGGCTAGTCCAGCTGTACGAAAGCAGAGAAGGAGAAGAGCGAAGACATTGCTGATTCTCACGAAACCAGCCAGCCCACTCAGAGGCCTTCTTTTACTCTCATTTATGACGCCTGAAGGAAGACTGAGACTGTTCATTGAGTCAGTGATGTGGCGGGCCAGAGCGTGGCATCCTCATGCACCGTGGTACGGCACAACTCAAAACAAGCAGCAAAAAGCAGTGGAGGGGAGGTTAAAAAAAAATCTTGATTTTGGGTAGAGATGTGGTGGACAGTTTTTAGCTCCACTTACCATAGCCTGAAGAGAGAGAGTGAAAGCATACAAAAGAAGTACAACAGGTTAATTCATACAGAGTTTCCAGGAATACAAGCCATTAGTAAGACACCTGTCAGATGACAGACGTACAAACCAAATTCTCTGTCTTTTCATAGAATACGTTTAGATATCAGTGCCTGGAGGCTAGCGATTTCACACCTTCTCCTAAGCATTACTGAATTAGCTGTACCTCATATAATATTCAACACCACCCATAAAAGTTGTACTCATCTGACATGCCCTCGATGCAAGAAAGCTAGCTGACCTCACTGTGTGTGCGGTTTCTATCGGAATACATAACGGTGTGCGAACAGGTTTTAGTGATGGGAAGAGTGTTTAACATTCAAGTTGCACGACACTGTCTTTGCACAGACACTAAGACATGGAAGGCAGATTTATTTCTCTTTAACAGTCTCAGCACATATCAGAATAGCTGTTTTCATTTTTAACCATGATTTGAGTAAAAAATTATCAAATACATTGTTGCACAAGAATTAAACACTTCTAAAAGTCCTCTTTAAATACTCACTCGAAATAAATCAAAGAAGAAAAACTGTCTGAAAAAACACATTTAATTCTGATCAAGATTTTTTCAGATCGCAAATGTTAATTCAATACATAACTGCTTACAGGTAGACTACTAACTGTCTGCATGATAATGAAGTGAACACTGGTCTCTAGTATCTGGGATTAGAAACCAGACTCTTAACAAATCAACTGGCATAGCAGGAACCAGAGGGCCAGTTTTCAGTAAAGATTGGTAGAGAAAAAGCAAACCTTTCTTTTCACATCCATAGTAAGGTGAAAGTTTTACATTCAGGCTAACCAGGAAACATAACTCTGTGTAAAAAGGTCACTGGTTGTCCAATCCAAATTCATCAGGAACCTAGCTACAGCTGAACTCGACTAACTTATCTAAAGTTTATTTAAAATAATTGGACACTTAAAATTGACTGGAGTACTAAAGAGCACTGCACCCCAAGACACAAAGTCACTACAGCAATGATGACATTCGTAGAAAGAAAAATCTTACCAAATCACTGACAAGTGGAACTGGTTTCTTTTTACGTAGATCAGGCATGCTGTCAATGCCATAGAGACCACCTGCAGGCCTGGAAGCAGGGGGAAATGTGTTAACAAGCTCACAGAAATGGAAGAGTAAGATCTCCTGTCACAAATCATCCTGCAGAAGCCAGACATGACCTATAGCAAATATTGATCCATCTACTAATAAAGTAATGTAAACAGAAGGACTCAATTTTGAGACAAAGGATTAATGCAACAAAACGTGACTCGGTAACAAACAGAAAACGCTACAGAAGCAAATGAATAACCTTGTTCATCCCAAATGCTAAGAATCACTCTGCTTTCTTTTGGTACATTTGCATCCACAATTTACTTCTGGTATTTTGTGCCGCATTTCATAAAAGTTCTCAGAAGTTTGGAAACCATGCTGGCCGCCACTGTCTCCCTTCCCTGCCCCCTCATTCAACCAGTTTCTCTCTTCTTCAGAAAAAAATTCTCATGTTTTGATAAAGGAAATTCCAGAAGTAATCACACAAAATTGTGGCAGCAACACTTCAACCTCTAGACCAGGGTTACTCAACACTTGGCCTGCGGGCCAGCCGTTTGTTGACAGCCCGCAGTGTGGTGTGGGTTTGCGCAGGGTTCAACACATAGCCTGCAGGTGGGAGCCAAAATAAAGAGTCGTCAATAGAATAGTCTTCTGTTGAGATGCGTTTTAGTAGTTAAATTCCTGGACTGTCATTGCACATTAACAGTGCTGTCATATGGGTGGAAATACTATTGCGTTTTATTAATATCAGCAGAACTGACTTAAATGGGCCATGTGTGTCGGTGTAGTCTTGCCTTAATCTTTGTATTCATGCCCATTAGTGTGAAATAAGTCACTTGCATATATTTGCATGTACATGCAACCACACTTAAGTTGCGGCCCTTGGCATGTAATGTGAGTATCGGTGTGGCGCCCGGGCTTCCAAAGTTGAGTAGCCCTGCTCTAGACAGACACGCACTGTTCACTCTAACTCCAGCCTCCTGTCACACAAACACTTACCCCTTTTTTGTGTATCCGCCGGGATTCAGGAATTTCAAATATTGCTATGGTGTGAGAGAGGGGTAGATAAGGGGGGCAAGTATCTAAGGGAGAATGACCAGCCTACAGGTCTGAGGAAGTGGGCTGTGCCCACGAAAGCTCATGATACTATTTAAATATATTTGTCAGTCTCTAAGGGTCTGGCTACACTGCTACCCTAGTTCGAAGTAGAGTGGCTAATGTAGGCATTCCAACTTGCAAATGAAGCCCAGGATTTAAATATCCCAGACTTCATTTGCATGTTCCTGGGCGCTGCCATTTTTAAATGCCTGGTAGCTCGAACTACCTGCCCACGGCTACACGCTGCACGGGCCAGGTAGTTCGAATTAAGAGAGTTAATTCGAACTACCGTCACTCCTCATTGTGCTTTCCGTGGAAACCAGAGCGATTCCCTTGGCCTCCTTGGCAGCACTCAGGCCTTGTCTACACCGAGAGAAGGCTGACTTTGTTCAGTCGATTTTCTAGCACCCGACTGTGAAGTCGAAGGTGCACGAGTTCAGCAGACTGCATCCCCAGGAGGGTGGCTACTTCTGAAGTGGACAGCAACCCCGCAGTTCCTGGCCCTCCTTTGTGTTCTGGGTTGCGCTCCCAGGGCCCAATACAGTGCACTGGACGGATCTGGGTACATGTCGGCAGCAGCCCATACAACACTCATCTCCTCCCTCCACTCCTGCCCGCCTCCGCTTGCAAGCAACATCTTCCTGTGCCTTTTCCCCCGGGTATCCGTGCAGACGCTATAGCAGGGTAAGCAAGGCACTGCTGGGTGGCCCAGGCGTAGCCTCTCTCCGCCATGCCCTGAATCTCCTGGCCCAGGTATCTGGCCTGCGGTGGAGAGCTCTGCTGTGGGCCAGAAAACAGGAAGCAGCAGGCCACTGGTTCTCCAGCCCTGTCCTGGAGGTCTGGCTACCCAGATCTCTGAGACCAAGTCTCTGCTTCCTTCAAACTTCTTGCTAGCTCTTCTTGTGCCTTTACAACACGTATGGCTGTTTTAGCATATACAAGGGGGGAATCTAAGAAGAACATCAGAACAGCCACACTGAGTCAGATCAAAAGTCCATCCGGCCCTGCGTCCTGTGTGTCCACAGTGGCCAATGCCAGGTGCCCCAGAGGAGGGAACAGAACAGGAAGCGATCCCTCCCCTGCCGTCCATTCCCAGAATCAATACACTGGTTCGGAGCTACCTGTGATCGGTATTCACACCCTTCCAACCTGAGCGCTCTCACTGCATCTCTCGATGGGGGGAACACAGGATATAAATCACAACAGGGCTGCACATCACACTTCTGGGGGGACCGTGCTAAATGACTGATTTTGTCAGACAGAAGTTTAAGTTTTGTAGACGAGTACCAATCTCCTTTAACACACATTCTTTCCAATCAGAAATTAGCACAAACAGAGTAATTTCTAGCCATCACTCAGGCCAGCAAATTGTCTTCCATGTCTGAACTGCTTTATTTGTCATTCCAACGCTGTGTTAACAAGCGAGTGGAAGGTGTTGTTTAGAGTTAGAACAAATCACTATCTTCCGCTACTGATAATTGCCACTTCTCCACCAACCTCTTCAGCAGAGTCTTGGGCTCCTTTGGAAGGCAGCAGGTTGCTAGGCAGCGCTAAACTACGGCAGGTGTGGCAAGACACTACCCATGGCCAAGCCAATGCTGCAAACCAATTGCTAGAAAAAGAAGAGCTGCAGAACAAAGCCTTATGCCATTTACCTTCATAGCCTAAGAAAACCTGTTTCAATGCCCTGCTATCCCGTTTACACACAGGGAGAATCAATATCGGGCTGAGATTTCAGGACAACACTGCCTCTGCACACCATGCCCAAAGGCAAGAGGAGAGAATGGAAAAACCCAAGCAAAGCCATACGTTTCTATCCGAAGAGCATTCACAGCAAATCATCAAGCCATGGGTAAGGGGGTCCACATCTTTATCCTGGAGAAACTCGAATTCGTTACGAAGAAGCTACAGCAGGATGTCCATTATGCAAAGTGTCACACTGACTTGACGTGTAATCACAATGTCCCAGTTGCTGTGGCTGGCACACTGGCGGGAACAAACCAACCCATCTCACACGGATGCGTCCGGATTAACAGTTGGGGCCATGACTTAACAAGAGCGATTTTGCAAAGCTTTGCGGAGCCCCTCCAGTTTGGCATTACTGCACTTCGAGCATGGTTGCTCCACATTCTTTAATTCCATTTTTTTCAGGAAGACAAGGCATCTGAACACAAATAGCATTTGTTCAACATTTATCTGAAGATGCTGGTTTTACCCTCTCATGTAGCCAGGAACGGGGCTGACTCCAAGAACATGAAGCCCCCCGCTGAGGTTTTAAACCCTTTAACCATTGTAATTTGGACCAAAAGGACTAGAAATACGTATTACAACCATACCCATCTTTAGCCATCCCTACATAGTACTCGAGGGTGGGTCTCGACATGAATAGCTGCACAGTGCACACACTGGCTGTGCTGGGTTCCTCTCCATTTGGATGGAGGCTGTGAAACACCACACCCCGCCCTTGGGAATGGAATGGCTGAAGTGTTACAAGCAGAAGAGAACCATCCAAAGCCATTTGCTGATGGCACGTTGCTCGAACTTTTGCTTAAGTGAAATGAGAAACAAAACACTGCGAAACAGTAACAATGGAAAACTAAGAAGTCCAAAAGCCCACTTACCCTTCTTTGAACCAAGGTGGTTTTGACGGATCTCCATCATCTTGACCCTTAAATAACGAAAGAGAAACCAAGTTAGCTTCCCAGAGAAGAGACCCTGAACTAACTCGGCAGGGTACGGTTTGGGGAGAGGTGGAATGGAGCACACGTCATGCAGGTCAATGCACACAAACACTCCATTTCCAGAAGCACCTCAAAATGACTGCAGCAAGGCGGGACAGGTCATGGGGATACACAAACGGTTGATGGAATCTCATCAAACACCTAAAGGGAGGACCAAAAGAGCCTGTTCAGTGCACCTCCCCTTGCCAAAGGAGTCTCAGAAGAGCAACTCCAGCCTTCCCCAGCCAGCCAAAGAATTCCTTACCGCTCTAGACCACCAAGGGTACAGTCATATTTTAATCCTATTGATTAAAATGGGCTGTAAGAAATGCACAAGGAGGGACAGAATGAAGCTAGAGACATACGCAACCTTGATTTACTTAGCAAGGGACAATGTACTTAGCTTCCTATTGTCCTTTATTCATGCACCAATCAAAAGGCCTTCCTTAGCCACAAAACAAAGCCTTCCGTTTGCTGTTCCAGCTCCGCCTTTAGGGTCATGTGTAAAAGCTTTGCCCTCCACTGGGTACCCAGGGACACCCGCTTTTCACCAGGTGCCCAGCGGAGAGCCAGGACAGCTGCCAGCCCTCGGCACAAGTGTTCAGGGTCACATCTGGCACATGTCAGTTCAAGCCACAGTGTAGGAACATACATTCGTGGGCAAACTGGCATTTCACTATGCTGCTTGGACTCTTTAAAAATGCCTCCATGGAATGAGGCAAGAACTGAAAAACATGTAACTATTGAGTGTGCGTGAAGAGCCCGGTGGGGCGCGGTGCAGACGCTACGCTGCTCACTGTAAGGAGAGCTGGAGAAGGAGGGGCGCCTTCCTGCCTCTTGCTAAGCGACACTCGGGGTTCATGGGAAGGTTGCCAGGAATCCAATTTATGACCAGGACGCCTGGTGGGGAAGGGACCCTGCTGGTTCCCGTCAGCACCTGCTGACCAGGCTGCTACGAGCCTGGTCTGCAGCCCAGTGGGGCTAAAACAGGCTCTCGCAGATCCCAGAAGTGGCCCCATGTCCCTCTGCCTCCTGAGATGAGGCTGCCCAAGGGAGCTCTGGGAGCCATTCCCACCCCAAGCACCAGCTCCTCAGCTCCCACTGGCCAAGAGCTGTGGTGGCAGCTGGCAGTGCACAGTGCACAAGTCACCCTGGCCCCTGCCTAGGTGCCTGGTGTGCCAGCGACTTGCGGGAATCACCTGGGCCTACTAGCCAGAGCCTGCACCCCAAGCGCTCTTCTGCACCCTAATTCCCAGAGCCTGCACGCCACCCCCCTTGCCAGGCCTGAGCCCCTCCCAGAACCCACACTCCATCCCCCACACCCGTCGCAGCCCTGAGCCTCCCCCTGTACCCAAACTCCCTCCCACAACCTGACCCTTGCACCCTTTCCCACAGTCCAACCCCTGCCCCAGCCCTGAGCCTCCCCCTGCACCCTTTCCCACACTCCAACCCCCTGTCCCAGCCCTGAGCCCCGCCCCGCACTCTGAACACTTCTGCTGCAGCCTGGAGTCTCCTCCTGCAGCTCTTATCCCTGGCCAGTGCCCAAACCCCAACCCAGAGCTCCCTCCCACACCCTGAATGCTTCAGTTTTGGCCTTATCCCAGCACCTACACCCCTAGTTGGAGCCCTTCCCCCCAGCCCCAGGGGATGGGACCTCAGGAGGCAGCGCAGGGAAAAAGGGCATGAACCCGGCCGCCTGCCCCTCTGCCTCATGCCCTTCCAGAACTTCATCTGCAAAGCCGAGAGTAGTTTGTGAGGTAAGAGTGGGAAATGTGGAATAAGAGACCAGCACAGCTAAGAGCGACTAGGTATGATTCTAGGTTGTATCAACAGGTGTGTTGTAAGCAAAACTCGTGAAGTCATTCTGCCGCTCTACTCTGCACTAGTTAGGCCTCAGCTGGAGTACTGTGTCCAGTTCTGGGCGCCACATTTCAAGAAAGATGTGGAGAAATTGGAAAGGGTCCAGAGAAGAGCGACAAGAATGATTAAAGGTTTAGAGAACATGACCTATGAAGCCAGGCTTCATGAACTGGGCTTGTTTAGTTTGGAAAAAAGAAGATTAAGGGGGGACATGAGAGCGGTGTTCAAATATCTAAAAGGGTGTCTCAAGGAGGAAGGAGAAAATTTGTTCCTCTTGGTTTCTGAGGACAGGACAAGGAGTAATGGGCTTAAAGTGCAGCAGGGGAGGTTTAGATTGGACATTAGGAAAAAATTCCTAACTGTCAGGGTGGTCAAATATTGGAATAAATTGCCAAGGGAGGTGGTGGAATCTCCCTCTCTGGAGATATTTAAGAACAGGTTAGATAGACATCTGTCAGGGATGGTGTAGACGGAGCTTGGTCCTGCCTTGAGGGCGGGGGGCTGGACTCGATGACCTCTCGAGGTCCCTTCCAGTCCTCTTATTCTATGATTCTATGATTCTATGACTGCCTGAGGTGAGAGCCAGACTGGCTGGCCGCACACACCCCACTTTACCGACAACCACCACCTAAGTGTGGTCAGTATCTTCCGGAGCTGGAATGAGGCTCAAGTCGACCAGGCCCTTCTCTCTCCAAGTGGGTGTCCTCCCCAGACTCCCCATCGACAAGAAGGGACAGCTGTCAGCACACTGACTCCCCTCAACTAATGGATTAAAAAGAGGAGGGCGCAGCACCAGGAAGGATGGTCCTTCTCTCCCTCTCCTGTGGTCACCACATAGACATCATGGGCAATCACATCCTCCTACAAGCCCTCCGTGGAAGATCTGAAGTCACATAGAAAACCCCGTTTGAATCATCCACCTCTCAGGAGCAAAAAGTCCCATTTCCTTACCATTGTTTATTATTTCTGGATCTCCACTGGTGTGCATGACAGTCTAGACAGAAAACAAGACTCCGACCCTGAAAAGCATGCAATCTACCTTGGCTTGAACAGATCAGACAGGATGGAGGGAATTGCTGCAAGAAAATCACAGACTAGTACCTAAGGGGCCATCACGTCCAGTCCCCTGCACTTGCAGCAGCACTAAGCACCATCTAGACCATCCCTGACAGGCGTCTGTCTAACCTGCCCGTAAATATCTCCAGCCATGGAGATACTACAGTTCAGACTGTTCAAATTAAGTCTGGCACACACCAATATATCTATCTGCGAAATATAGGTTGAACCTCCCTGGTCTGGCACCCTTGGGACCCAAGACGTCCCAAACTAAGCAATTTGCCAGACCAGGGGAAGTTAGGCTTCCAGGCTCTCCCGGGGCTCCCCTCCTGGCTGCCGCCCCAGCAGAATCCGGAGGCCTGACCTCCTCCGGCCCACCTGCCTGGATCTGCTGCTTCTGAACAGCTTGTGAGGCTCTGCTCCCAGCTTTCCCCAAGCCGGTGCGGGGGTAGCAGCTGCTCCCGGGGTTCCCTGCACCCGGCCCCATGCAAGGCAGCAGCCACTCTTGGGGCTCTCTGTCCCTACCCCACTACAGGGTGGCAGTCACTCCCGGTGCTCTCTGCTCCCAGGTCATTGGTCCTACAGGCTGCCACTGACTAGACCAGCTGTCGCTCTCAGCCTTTGTGGCCGGGGCTCTCTGGTCTATCAATATCTGTGGCCCTGCTGGATCACGGACATTGCTGGACCACAGAATCCCAGACGGGAGAGGTCCAACCTGTACACAATTGTCAAGTTTTGAAGAACAAGCAGGAGACATAAGTTTTAAGCACCACTAAATGGGAAGATCAATGGAGTTTCCTCAGATATCTTGGAGCATCTGTGGAGGGGAAGGAGCATTCCTCTGAGGGGGCGTTACCCGATGAAACCAGGCCCTCAACCCTGCCTGAGCAGAGCCTGGCTTCTCCATGCCCACTGAGGAGATCTGGAAACGCCTAGTGAGGACACCTGGGGCCAGTGGCCATCTAGAGAACAATATTAACTGATATTTCCCTTCAAAGCCGAGAAACAGCATATGGGAATAATTCTCGCACTTTTCCCATAAGCTTCAAGAGAAGATGGAATAAAGAACGTAGCTATTAAATCAAATAGGGTCGTCAAACCTTGCTGAAACTATCAATTTATTGCTCATGTAGCAGTAACATGGGGAAAAAAAGTAATTTTTCCACTGGCCACAATGACCAAATCCAACACCAATTCACTGTTTATTGCTGAAAAGAACTTCAGATACAGAGAATGGTAGGAAATGTACTGAGTCGCTCAGCTGAGGCCCGCTAACTATACATTTGCCAGTTTGAGAGATTAACACACTAGCAAAATACTGCCCAGAATATTTAATATTTCTAAAATCTTCCCCACCTCAAGGGCCAACTTGTGCTCCCAGATGAGTGCCCGGCTTTCACTAACAGCAAAGGAAGCTACCACAACGACGCACAGGTGCACAGACACGGCCACTGCACTCGCTGGGACTGGGAGCTGCATTTCCTGTGTTAGGATCAGTAGAAGTTAGGTGTACCCCAGGAGATGCTACCTAAGCAGGAGTGTGTTCCTAACATCACAACATTCCCTACAGCAGCTAGTGCCATTTTGCAGAGAGCCACACTGGCGCCTCTAGGGCAGAGACATCCAACTGCATTGCTGCTAGAGTGGGTTCCCTGCAGGCAGGTGCTCAGAAGATGGCACTGCAGGGAAGATAGCAGGAAAGGGAAACGGCTCAGCAGCCAGCTATGGGTCTCACAGGACTGTTTGAATTAATATAAGATTCTTCGGCTTTGGCAGACAGCAGCTCTTAGCTCAGACCAGATCGCTGCTGAGGCAGCCAGACCTCTCTCAAAGCCAGAAAGTCCAACACTCAACATGAAGGGGCCAGGATCTGCACTACAGTCAAGGATCCATGCTCTGGAAACAGATGCACCGGCAGTCAATTTAGAGGATCTAGTGAAGACCCACTAAATCAACTGCAGATCCTTCTCCAATCGATCTGACCAGAAGAATAAGGTAAGTTGATAGGCAAGTGTCACTCATCAACTCTGCA